AATCAAAGCGGCATCAGAGCAATACATTGAAACGGAGAAGAGGAAACGTGAAAAGGCTTATCAAGGTACCCACTGAGTTCTGCATTTCCCTTTATCCACCTGGATACAGGGGCAGGCCATTTCCTGGATGATGCCAGAGTCTCCTTCAGATCTATTGCCAGTTCTTACATTCCAACCAATCTGTTTATTTTTGACCTCTTTGTTCCCAGCTCGTTCACAAAAAACCTCAGGAATAGGACGCTTGATGGTGCAAGTGATTGAAGCAACAGAACTAAAGGCCTGTAAGCCCAATGGTAAGTGAGGGAAACAGTCTCAGAGCAGTTTTATTCCTGTAACATTTGGAAAGGTTTGCTGAGAGCAGCTGGTCATTTGGGAATCCCTGTGGCTTGTCTACAATTTCTATATGAAAGAGTCATTCTTTGGTTTCAGAGGACAGAGTGAAGAACCAGCCCTGTGCTGCTCTGGGATATAGGATTGCCTGATCCACATTATCTGGCAGCAGCATTGATGTGTGTTCAGGCAGGCTCCAGATGGAGGGGGAGGTTCTGCACTGCAGAGGGGTTTCACTCCCTGTTCTGTGTTTAGGGAAGAGCAACCCATACTGTGAGATCAGCATGGGCTCACAGAGCTACACTACCAGGACCCTGCAGGACACCCTGAACCCCAAGTGGAACTTCAACTGCCAGTTCTTCATCAAGGATCTGTATCAGGATGTCCTGTGTATCACCATGTTTGACAGGGATCAGTTCTCACCTGATGGTAAGTGTGAGTATTTAGGCAAAGAATGCTTTTTTGTTAGCTGAGGTATCTGGTTCCTCAGCAGCAGTTTCAAGAGCCTGTAGGTCTGACTGCTGCCTGAGAAATGTTGGGTAAAAACAATGCCTCAGTACTCAGGAGGTTCAACAGCCTTCCAGAGCCAGTAACTCCAGGCAGTCAGATCTGATCCCAGTCTGGCTTCTGTGTCAGACACACAATTATTTTCTTGTCAGACTGAGGAGACAGACAAGTTGAAAGCAAAAGTTCTACTCACAATAGGTGCTCAAAAATAAGGTCCTGGGTTATATTTTCACAGCAACAGCTTGATCAGCTTTCTTGTTGCTTGGAAACTGAGCACGTTTTTGGCAGTCAGTTGCTTCTCATATTCTCTGAAAGGTTAAGTGCTTTTTCAGGGCTCTGACACACAGTCAATTATTGCAAATTTGCAGGGAACTGCCTTGACCTGAGATGCCTTGTGTGTAACCATAGCTCAGTCTTTTCTCCTGTGAGTTAATGTGAGTTTGGCTGGACAGCTGAGTCTTCTTTTTCAGTCCATGGTGAACTTTTTAATGCATACACACACAAAAGATGTCATGTAAGAAATAGTCACACAGAAAGTTCATGATTTCTGAACAGGACTGTAAACCTACTAGAACAGGTAATTGTTGAAAATCATTCTAGTAAAAAGCATGCTATATAGGCATAATTAAAAGTTGGCTGAGCCAAAACAGTTGATTTATTTTACTGTCTTTGAGCACCTCAGCTGATTTGTAAACAAGTTCCATCACCTAACTCTGACCAGCCAGCTCTGAAACTGAAGAACACTTGAAAATGTGTTCTGAAAGGGTATTTTCTAAGAGTGTTTTTAAAGCCCTTAGCTCAAACTGTGACATCCTAATTCCATAGCATTGTCCTCTTCTAAAAAGGCCCCTTTTTGTCACTGCTGGCTGGTTTACACAGGGCTGGGGTCCATCTGACTGGAAGCCTGGGAGCAGTGCTCTGGAACAGAGCATGTACCCCACAGCATTGCATTACCCTGCCTCACTCAGATGTTCTATGGTCAATATCTTTGCCTAATGAAATTTCTTATTCATTTGCCCAACAGATTTTTTGGGTCGCACCGAAGTTCCAGTAGCAAAAATCAGAACAGAACAAGAGAGCAAAGGCCCCACAACTAAACACTTACTGCTGCATGAGGTTCCAACAGGAGAAGTTTGGGTGCGCTTTGACCTGCAGCTCTTTGATCAGAAAACACTCCTCTAAGAACAGTTTTGTTTTATTTTATGAAGGACAACTGAAGCTAACAGCCTGAACATCTTTTGGTAGAAGATTCCTTGTCCCGTGCTGGTTATTAAGCAAGAATTCCTGCTGCTTCTGTATTTCCTCTTAGTTCCTTAGTTCTTTGCAGTGTTCCCAGTTGTTGTTGATCTATGCAAACACAAATGTTACTGTAAATACAGTACTATAGCTCAGTGCCTTTTTATTATTTTGGAATATCTTGGGTTTGGATGCCAATGTTTCCATTTTCAGGGCCATAAAAAGTATTATGTAGAAATGTGGCACCAAGCTATTTGTATATTTTATCACTTAGTCTGACAGACAGACTGAGGAATGGTTTAAGCTCAGCACTAGAATCATTCCATTTGAAATCTTAAAAGTGATATCCACTGGAATTTTCCCATCTCAGGATGATCGTTTTAACGGTTAAATGCTGAAGAAGCCTTAGCACTGGAGAAGTCTCCAATATATTGTATATTCTTTTAAGAATCAAGCATAGTTCTTTACTTGACTTTAGTTCTGCACTGGAATCAGTAACTGCTACTTGATTTTTCTTTCTGCTTCAGTTTGATTTATCGTTCTCTGCTGAGACAATGTGGTTGTCAAGAATAGCTAGGAAAAAATATTTTAAATACTGTGACCCACAACAATGTGGCAAAATACTCTTCAGCTCTTTGGGTTTTTTCCTAAGTATAAGTTATTTGTGTACATTTCCTTGGTCTTGCAGACCTCCATGTGAATCTTGAAGCTTTGACATTGCCAACATGTATATAGAGAGTAAAATATAAGTTTATTAATTTGTCTACAGATGTTTATTGATGCATAGTGATTTTAAAAAAGTATATTTTATTGTACAGGGGAATGTGAAATAATGAGAAAAACTTATAGGATTTGTTCAAGGAAAGTTTATCATAAGTTTAAAAGGTTTGTTCTGGGGAGCTGTCACCCCAATATAAAATGTAAAATGAGCTGGTTGAAATGAAAGCGAAAACTTTCTCTTGGCACCAAATCAGGGATGGTTTAAAAAAAAAGAAAGTTTGTTTATAGATTTGTTACATTGTAACCATTCTATTTCCTCCTTTAAACTGCTTTGTTGCAGAAGCACAGCATGCAGTTCTGAGCAGCCTGTGCCCTTGTTTTCCACGGGTGCAGAAATTCCTCCTGAAGTCTGGCAGTTTCCCACCCAGTCACCATCTGTGCACCCTCCTATTACTGAGTCAACCTCTGTTACATTTAACAGTTTTCTGTGGTTCAGTATTTCTAATCCTAAATAAAACTCAACCTTGGCAACTCTTGAGAGATTGTGTCTGTACAATGGGAGTTTGGAGGACAGAGAAAATTCTGTTTCCAGGCTCTGAGCCCAGAGCTCTGGTCAGCTGCAGCAGCAGGGAGATGGGACTGGCACAGGAGAGGGTCAGGTTTGAGGGCACTGGCAGCAGCTGCTGCTCAGCACCAGCTCTGCAGAAAGCACCAGATGTTTTGTACACCACTTCCCATCTCCTCTCCCCTACTTATTTCCTGCCTTGTCAAAACACCTATGATGTATGTGAAAAGTTTGCTTTATTGCTTGGACACTGCCTCCAGGAGAGAACACCAGCACTGTCTTTACTGAGCTCAGCCCAAGTTAAACCTCCTAAAATAGCAGGTTTTGGCTTGTAGAGCATTGAACTGGATCTGGCAAGAAGAGGAGCAGCATCTCAGACATTTCTTTGGCTGCTGGGTAACAACATTTCAGAACTACATGTTTAAGACAGTAAGTTTATTGCAGTTTGCCCAAAGACCTGCCTGGCCTCTTCTCACTTGCTTTGGCAGTGCATGTAACCTATTTTGTAAAGGGTACCTTTGATGGCTGTGGTCAGCTGGAGCACAGGAAACATAATTGGCTCTCTCTGTCATTGTGCTGGTTGATGAATTCCATCCTTGAAAGAGAAGGAAAAACTGTTACCATGCTTCTGTAAAGATCAGCTGAGCTGTCAGATTATTTCCCTCTACACAGCACACACTAAGCATGCCTGGGAACTCTCCAGCCTTCCTTAGACAGGACATCTCCTCCATGCTGCCATGATGGATTTGAAATGAGGAAAACAAACCTCCCTCTGCCATTGCTACTGTGCCTCAAAAACTGGGCTTAGTATAGATCCAGACTGTGTTCCTGGTGAAAACCATGTTCAAACACTCCTGGGCTTAAATGCAGTAGGAGTGACTTAGTAAAACTAGAACACACTCCCCTAGAGCAGTGTTGTAGTGCGTTCTTATATTTTGTAACACTTTGAAGTAGTTGTTTTGTATTCCCATGTTTTTCCCAAATGGTTTATCCCAGACTGTACCCCCCCCCCTCCTCTTCCCTCTACTTGTGTTATCCCTTTCCTGGGATAAGATCTCCAAAACTCCCACCCTGGCTCTCTGCCAGTCACCTCGACATCCCAGCCCCCTACCTAGAAGTTTCGGTCCAAGTTGTCGAGTGATTAGCCAGGGGCCAAGGGTCAACCCCCCAAGTCCTGCCCCATACGCTGTTTTGTATGTCTATCCCCCCAGCACCCATCCCCCAGAGATACCTATTGGTCAGTAGGATTTTGTCTATGTTAGTTTCCTCCCCCCTTTAAATGTGAACTCCGAACATCCCCCAGCGCTCTCGGCAGGAGACCCCTGGGGTATCGGAGCTCCCTCGGGACTCCTTAATAAAACCTTGGAATATCCCCTGCTGGGAGACGGCCCCTTTCCTCTTCCACCGACGTCTCGGTCGTCTCTGCTGCAGCAAAGGCAACCAGCCTGAGTGCCCTCAGCACCCTCGGGGCACAGAGAGTGTCTCCCTGCAGTCGGCCGTGGTGGGGCTACCCCCCCCACTCTCTGCCGACCCGGGTAAGGCCCAGGGACTTGAGAGGCTTGCAGAGAGACTGGGACAGAGCAGCACATCAGTTACATGCTCTGTTACCCTCCTGCTGGTCAAAGTGGGATTCCAAACCTGCTCACACCTTCCAGCAGTCTGTGCACGTCTTCTGGAAGAATGGATCATACTCTGATGGGTCATAATCATCCAAAAACACATAGCCCTGTGGGAGAAGCAGGTACTGGGTCAGGTCTCAGAAGCTGTTGGTGGTTACAGCAGTGAGAGCAGGCAGCCTGGTTGGGACAGAGCCAGGCACAGCATAACACAGCACCAGAGGTGGTTGAAATCTGTGAATTCTGTGAAAAAAGAATTCCCAATTTTATACACTGCTCCTCAGAAAGAAAGTGATTGAACTGTAACAGGAAAATTCCTCCATCCATTTTAATTTTTCACAGGCATAAATACATAACAAATGATTTCATGAAGCATCCAGAAATAATGACAGGCTAAAATGCTAATCTTAACTAGGACAGTCAAGACAAAGGATTTTTTTTTTTTTTTTGGAAAATGTTTTTCCAGAGAAAGAAGCCCTGAGATTGCCTCTGTTTGTCAGAGCATGGTGCTAATAACACCAAGGTTGTGAGTTTGATCCCACTCACTTAAGAGTTGCACATGATGATCCTTCTGGGTCCCTTCCAACTCAAAATATTCTGTGATGTCAGCAAGACAGATATTAAAAAGAAAAGGAAAAACAGGAGTGAGTTACCCCTCACTAGCCACAGCCTTAGGCAGGTCACTGGTCTGGAAGATACCAGAGTTCCACATCTAGGTTCATGAGCTGGCTTTTCCATCTATACACTGGAATAAAGACCTGAACCTGTGGGTCTCATGGTCCAGGCCACAGCTCCAACTCATCAACAATGCTGCCACAAGTGGAGGAGAAGGCTGATAGCAGGGAAAGGAGCAAAAGAAAATGGGCAAAAAGAAGGGAGGGAAGGGAAAACACATCCAGAATTAACCACATTAACTAACCCACACAAGTGTCTCAAGTTCTGCAACATTTATCATATGCTGCCACAATTAATGCAAACTTATGCAAATAATGTGTCCTGTAAATATGAAGGGCCTCAGCCTGCTTTTCAGACATGCTGGTGACAGACCTGACAGCACAGAGCAAGGAGAAAAGGTAGAAACTGATCACTGATGCTGCTGCTCCCCTTCAGGCAGAAGGACACATCCCAGTACATCAGCCATTGCTTCTGGAGGGCACCCAGCAAACTCCTGACCTGGCACAGCAGCTTGCAAGATGGACTGATGCAGACCCAGATATGTGCAGTAAACCCAACACAGCCCAAATCCCAGGACTTCAGCAGTTGGACTGTTTCAGTTCTTTCTCATTCCATGCAGTTTAAATGCCTGGGTCTGTCACATCAGGCCTTTGAAAAAGATAGTTTGGTCTCATTAAAACAACAGAGCTCCCATGGTATTTTCATTTCTGGATAAGTAGGTTGTTTACAGTCTCGCAACTCCACTGTGCAGTGGTTTCCACTGACAACAACTGCCTGCTCTCATAAAGTTTGGTTTTGGTTTTTTTTTGTGGCAGATTACATAACTGCTTTTATTTTTCTCTTTTTTTTTCATTCCTGAGATGAAGAAAGTTTACTTGTGGGATCTGATATTCAGGAGTGGTGTGAAATTAAGAGCAAAATGAAGAAAACTAACAAGTATTTTCTACAGTGACTGCAATTTGCAATTTTTGTGAATACTGAAACACACAGAACTAAAAAATCCATGAGATGGGTCTGTTACCTGCATGCAGACTTAACAAAATTGTTTGCATCTCTCTGTTCCCATATTTTTTCTTTTATGAAGCTTGATCAGTAGCATCCAAGGCCACAAAATCATTTCACTCATGCTGTGCCAACAGAGCTGCAGTACTGCTGTAGCTGAACTCCTGAGACTTGGGAGTGCAGCCCACACCCTGCTCACTCAGGCTTTGGTTTGAGCTGACAGAGCTCAAGGTTTTCCCACTAATTGGTCCAGCGCACAGAGGCAAACACAGATCAGAAGGGTGTCTCACCATATTCAGAACCCAGCATGTGTTCACTGCACCAAGCAATGCTGCTGTTCATAGCTGCTGATGAATGCACACAGTTGTAACATCACCATTATAGAAGTCCTTGGGAAAAGTAAGTTACAGGCAAGGTATAACTGAACTCTAGGTTAATTCACAAGCAGAAAATAACAGCTAAACCCCTGAACTTGTCCACAACCCTCTGTATACAACCCCCTCCATGACAGAAATGTGTTTCTCATGGATACCTTCTTTGTACAGTAGTTTAAATATTGAGAGAATTGTTCTTGTCTCCTTTTCCACACTTCTTTCTCTAACTGGCTGTCCATTTTGTTCTTCATTTTTTGCATAAGTGGCTCTGAAACGTTCTCAAGATATTTTTTGTACAGAAGCTCTGTCTTTCTCAGATCTAGGAAATCACTGTGCTTCAAATATCTGTCCAGCTCCTTAAGTAAGAAATGGAAAATAAAAACCATATAAACTATTGATCAATAAGATTCCACATGTAAAGGTTTGCAGCTTGGCTGACCTGACTGCTCAGTGCTCCAAGTCATCTATTTTCCAGCCCTTCCATCTGCTCCTCCCTCTCTCCACTTCTCACCACTTATTTCCAAGCTTGCCCTTTCAAGAGCTCTGGCATTCAGACCCTTAATTTTTGAAGTTGTGGTGCAAATTTGGCAGAAAATGACTCACTTTTTCCCATCAGGTTATTGAGCAGAAATCACTGCAGAGCAGGGGGCTGCAAGCACCAGACTGTGCAAGACAGGCAGCAGAATGACCTTCCCTGCAGCACTGGCAATCTGCTGTATCAGATCAGAGCAGCCCTCCTGCCCTTTGCTCACAGCACCACTGTCACAAATTACCACACCCACAGAACAAATATTAGTGCAAACGGGAAGTTCAAGTCACCTGGGATTCACATTCAGGGTTACTACTTCAGTCCTATCCAGAGCGGACTGAAAAGATTAGAAGCTCATAACTCTAAAATAGTTTTTCAAGAATACAGGCAATTAACATTTTCTCATGAATCACTGTTTAGGAACTAAAAATACTGACATGCAGGAAAACACACAGCAAATGAGAAAAGAGCACACTTCTTACCCTCACAAAATTTTCTCTGTCCAAGATGCACTGAGCAGAAGCAATAATGTCTCGGCTTTGATCAGGTGCTGCCTAACAAAACATGAAAAAAACCCACATGAGGTGAAAGCAGGACTTAGAGCAGGAGTTAGATTTACTTTTGAATTCAAAATAATTACCAGTGTCATGATTAAAGGCACAATATACCACAACCCAGCTGGCAAATCCTTGCAAGATTTGCTCTGAACAGTTGGGTTAAGTAGCAACAGAAGAGTGTTGGAAGAGCTGGAAGGAGAACTGGAATGTACATGCTCAGCCCTCCTTGGCTGCTCCTCACCATGACCACACCACCTCCTCCTTGCCACTGTTTCTCACCTGTGCCAAACACATGGCTCTTTAACTCCTTCATTCCAGCCAAGGAGTTTAGGCAATGCAGACCAAATCTATCATTTGGGGATAGAATGCATTTTATGCATAGGATGGAATATTGGCCTGCTACTCCCTGTGCTTAATCTTGATTCTGAATTCCAATTGATGGTGTAGTTTTCAGTCATGTCTGCCTTGGCCCTGCTGACCAGCTCCACACTCCTAAAGGTTTATTACACTAAGATGAGCAGAACATCACACATCAGAGCAAGCAAGGAAGAGACAAGAAGTATTAAAAATGCCGCCAAAAACAAATGAGAAAGAGGAAACCTAAATTTCTGGCATGTTTCAAGACCCTTACATCCCACTATTTGAAACAACTGGTAGGTTGTATTATGCCTGATGAATTTACTTCACCTAGTCACAGATCCTTTCTAAAGTCAGCAGTACAAAGACATGGCCACCACTCCAGCTAAGAACCATCACCGGTGAACAGAAGAGCTTTCCTTCAGGATGATACACATGTGAAGGAGTTGGGTGTCCTTTGACTGAAGGAATGAAGTCCCTTCTCCCTGGAAAAGGGCAGGCCCAGGGGCAGCCTCATCACAGTGCTACTTACAGAGCAGCTACAAAGAGGACAGAGGCCCTCACTTCACCAGAAGCCACAGCAAGAAGACAAGGGATGAGAGGTACAAGTTGCATTGGCAGAGCTTTTATCTCAATGTAAGAAATAAATTTTTACAGTGAGATCAATCATTCACTGAACAACCTCCCCAGGGATGTGGTGGAGTCCCCATCACTGAAGGTTTTCAAGGTGCAATTGCACAGGGACCCTCATCTGGTGTCTTTCCCATGAAAGGCTGGGCCAGACAATCTTCCAAGGTCCCTTCCAGCTTAGGCTGTTCCATAAGTCTGTGATTCTAACTAGTCACAAGCTTCTTTCAGCTTTTATGGGAAACTTTTCCACACACCAAACTGTCACAGACATCTTTTTATGAAAATCCTTTCCTCCTGAGGGAGAAATTTTTTCCTCCTGAGAAGCTGAGAGGCCTCAGGAACAAATGTAAACAATGATTATCTGCTGCTGTGGAATGCAACAGGTGCATCTGTGATTGGTCTCATGTGCTTGTTTGTAATTAATGGCCAATCACAGCACAGCTGGCTTGGACCGAGAGTCTGGGACAGCTGCCTTTGTTATTCATTCTTTTCTGTTCTTAGCCTAGCCTTCTGTTGAGAACTTTTTCTTATATTCTTTTAGGATAGTTTTAATGTAATATATATATAATAAAATAATAAATCAAGCCTTCTGAAATATGGAGTCAACATTCTTGTCTCTTCCCTCATTCAAAAACCCCTCTGAACACCATCACACCAAACTGCAAGTAATTCAATAAAGCTGGCTCAAAAGGATGCAAGAGCTCAATAAAACCTATTGAATCTGTTGCTTTTTCATAATTCTTTGTTCTCCTTCTCCGTGACAAACATCTCTAATATTTTACTGAACTTTGAAAATAACAATTTTTCATTCTTCCCTTCATAACTTTCATTTAAATCCTCCACTCACACCTTCACACAACAGAAGCCCTTCCTTATGTGATAGCCAATCTTTGGCAATATTTTCCTTCCCAAAATGTCTGCTGAAATCAAAATTATTGTCTGTGCCACTCTGCTGGTGCTGAGGAGAACCTCTGAATAAATGTAAAAAAAGGAAAAGGTTTGCATAAAAGGACAACCTGCTTTACAAAGATCAGGTTCTCATCCAGGTTCCACAACCAAGGCACAAACTGGGATGGAATGGAAAGAATTAATACAACTGCAACACCCATTTCTGAGTGTGCTGTGGAGGGACAGACTGAAGCACAAAGCTCCTGCTCAGGGCTCACAGATGAGTTCAGGCACATGCCAGGCATGGAAGTCTGGGAGCACAGTCGGACCAGAAAACACTGTCAGGATTTCAGTGGAATTGGTGGCCAGTTCCAACACAGACCCAGTTACACACCTGGGCTCCCAGTTACACATACTGCTCTCTGTGTTGCTCACAGTAGAACCTACAGCTGAAGGAATGCTGGGGGTCACTCACCTTCCAAGGCTCTTGCTGCTTGGGTTTTCTCACAGGTTTCCCATTTGCAAATCTTTGTAGCCAGGAACCTTTTGAGTAATTCACACTACCCATGGCTGGATTAGTCTGGGAAAAACAATAAAACTGTCAAAATCCATAAAAAACTATTGTATTAACAGCAAAATCTAACTTTTCTTACAATTCCTACTGATCAGTGAAACAGATCTCTGAAGGACTTCTAACTGCTGATACCTGCAGCATTTTCCTGTCACAGTAAAACACAGAGATGAAGTACCAGGTTTACAATCAGACACTGCCCTGGTGGAACCATCTGTCCTCATCTCCACACACCATTTTGTTTCAAAGAACAGTGATTGACAAATTATTTAAAAATGCCTGTCAGCTTTGGAAACATTTCAGAGTTATCAAATTTCACCTCCAGACTATTACTTCTTTCCTTTGTGCCTTTTTCAATCAAATAAAATCCCTTTCAAGTAACTGCCACATCCCACTATGGCTACATTTTATTGGTTTTTAAAGTTAGTTTTACCAGATAAAGCTTATGCTGAAGTGCTAACTCAGCTCCAGTCAGAAAATTCCATCTTCTCTCTTGTATGTGCATCAGGATATGTGGCAGACAGTGCAACCACAGAGGCAAAATGCCCTTTACAGGAACCTCCATTCAAACCCCTATTTATCTCAGATTCACTGGAGACACACTGCTCCCAGGAAGCAATGGATTCACAACATTACTTAGGTAAAGAATGGAACAAAAGAAAAGCTTATTTCTGCAGAGATACTGACCCCAAGTCTTCAGACAGAGCTTTCAGTTATTAAAAAAAAAATTAAAAATCTGATATTCAATTATTTTTTGCAGTATCTAGTTATAAGAATCTGCAAAGACTCTTGAATATTCATAGGACATAACTTTTTTTTTTGGTAGAAGACAACACTTAAGAGTCTATTGTGTCCAATCCAGCACTTTAGTGACAATATCTGACCCCCACCTTACCTCTCTGGAGTGCAGATTCAAATTTCTTTCTGCTTAGAGAAAGGCCATGGAAAAGTACTGGGAAAACTAGTTACTAATACAATAGGTGACAGAGTTACAAATATATTTGTGAAGAATACAGAGAACATATAAAAGAAATAAAAGGTAAAACCCAAATGACATCAATCTCAGTGCCAGCTAGAAGAAAAGCAAACCTCACAGAACCAATTTCTGATACAAAATTACCAGGCAAACAGCAAGGGCTAAAGAGATTTGGGTACAGATGTGCTAAAGATTTGGTATTCGAAAAATCCAACACACCTTCCTATTAGCAATATATCCTGCCTACTTGCACAGGTGCCACAGGCTCCTGTGTCATGCCACCATTTACAGATTTCCTCCAACTCCAAGCAGTCCACCCACCTCACAAAGACAGACTGAGCACAAAGCAGAGGAGGTGCTTGGCCTCCTCAGAGAATTGGGATCCCAGGGGAGATAAAACAGAGCAAACATAGAGAATGTGCCTCTGCAGCAATCTGCCTTCAGGAACCCACAAGTGGTAAAGACTCTAGCTGCAGATTTCCCCCCACCACCAATCTTCATAATTCAAGCTTCTACTGAATCTTAATCCTTTCTTTTTCTGCTTTTTTTGTACTCTTGCTGGGAGATGTCAACCCTCCTCTCTGCAAAGGCAGGGCTCACTGATATGAGACAGCAGCTGCTTTGCAGGTCTTGAAACTACAGATTTAATCACAGGCTTAGACAGAAATAGAGTAAAGGCTTTCCAGAATCTGAGTGGATAAAACAAGCATTTAGTCAATCTAGCAGTTGCAGTCTGCAGATGCCAAATCCCATGAGCAGGTTGGCTGTCCTTTATCAGGACATTTGTTTGACTGTGCCAGATCCCTGGAAGTGTCCAAGGCCAGGTTGGATGGGGCTTGGAGCAATCTGGTCTGGGGGAAGGTGTCCCTGCCCATGGCAGGGAGTTGGAACTAGATGATCTTAAAGGTCCTTTCCAATCCAAACCATTCTGTGATGATTAAACCTGAGAACAACCTAAAAATCCTTGCTAGATAAACATGCATCCTTCCGTGCTGTCAGCAGTGCAGCTCTGTACCAGTAAGTTTTAAAGACAGGTTTCTCTTCTTTCCTCAGTAAAACAAGGTTCTTCCCCAAACACCCATCTGCTAAAATTCACACCCTCTGTGCCCAAGCACGAGGCTTTGCAGCAGCTTTGAGGAAACGCATTTTAATCACTCTGTGACAAATAAAGCACCCTCACATATGCCTCAGTCCTCTCAAAACCCCGTTCAGCCACGTGTCACCGCACGGATGTCATCGTGCACAACAAGCACAGCCGGCTGCCTGTACTGGTGCCTTGGTCCCCCCGCATCGCCTCAGGGGCAGGCGCAGAGAACGGTGAGACCGAGTGAGAACGAGTCTCCAGTGCGAGCAGGGCAGCTCTGCGAACAGAACCTTTTACACTGAATGCCGAGCTAACAGGTAACGCGTGCATGCCCGGAGGGGCCGGGCCTGGCCTGGCCCTGCACTTCAGAGGCAGCGCTGAGATAAAGGCCGGCCAAAGGGAAAGGCTAAGACCCTCTGGGCACGGCTCACCCCGCACCCTGCCAGGTGCTGAGGCGGGTCCTGCAGGCCCCAGGGAAGAGGAGGCGGCCAGCAAAGATCCACATCTACCACGCCCGTGCCGGGGTCCCTCACTGAGGCGGTGAACACAGCGCCAGGAACCCTCAGGGGCGGCGGCACAGGGCTACAATAGAAACCAAACCCGCCCGGTACGGCCCCGCCCCGCTGAGGGGAAAATGGCGGCGCGGCGCGCTCTGGTCGCGCCTCAATCAGTCGCACCGCGTCTCCGAGACCGAAAAAAAATAGTCCCTCACCCATCACCCACAGCCTCTCGGGATGAGGAGATGCCGCCCCAGGAGACAGGGGTCCGGCTACCCGTGGGGACAGGGCACAGAAACCTGTGGGGACAACGCTGCGGCAGCCCTGATCTCGTTCCGAAGACACACGGCGCGGCGGCACGGTCGGATCCCTCCGCGCCCGGCCGCGCAGCGTCCTACACTGCCATGGCAACCCCAACGCGCGCGCTCCCGCCGGCAAGGCTTCCCACCAATCAGAGAGGGGAGCGCGCGGTGAGCGAGCCAATCAGAACCGAGCCGAACGCGGCCGAACGGGGCCGAGCCGAAGCGAGCCGGCGCAGTCCGGCTCCCTGGTTTATTATCGAAAGTTCATTAAATCGAATTACACGATTTCACACATTCCCCTGCAGTGCTGACCGTGCCACCAAATTAGAAACTGCAGTCAGCCAGAGATACCATCAGATGAGAGAAATGTCAGGGCTTTTTCCCCCAGCAGTGCTGCACTGACACACAGATCTCACAATAACTGTGTGCCACGTAGAGGGGTGTTTCCTGGAGCCCTTTATGCTTTATTTTTTAAAATATATTATTACGATTGATTTGTCAGCGCCCCAGGCATGACGAGACCCTTGTGCCCAACCGCCTGCCATTGCCCTGGAATGGGATCCCCCGGCACAGCCCGCTGTGCCCAGGGTGCGTTCATTAACCTGGCCAGGGACTTGTGACAGCAGCGTGTCAGAGTCAAATCCTTGATATCAGTCTGGAAAGAAAGACCCCCATCCTCCTGGATCCCCCACACTCTTAGTCTCTATGTTATTAATTTTGTCATTTTTATCCACTGTCATTGTCTGCCAGTATCCTTGAAGGACTCAGGCTGAGCAATTTAAGAAATAACACACTTTATTAACAAATACACTGATCACAGAAGACTGTCACAGAGTCGGGGCAGAGATTGTCACTGACAGTGCACTGACTGCAAGAACAAGTTTGAAGAAATGCACAGGCTCTGATCACCAGTGAAAGTCTGAGATAATCAATGTGTACAGAGTAGGGATCCTACCCAACAGGTGTGCCCACAGGGGAAAAGCCAAGATCAGCCCATCAACCCATCCCAGAAGTTATGTGGAGTCTTTCCTAACTTGTCCCCCTCTTAACTCACTGTTAGACTATTTCTTTACACTTAGGTGAAGCTTGGGTAACTCTAGGCAAACATACTTTTGTTCTCGATTGGTGCAAAATTCCCTCACTTTGCTCTCAAAGACATAGTTAATAAAATAGAGAGTGTGTGCTCAGGGAGGGGTGGTCACACTTTGGGTGGGTAATTTTGGGATGGAGGTGTGTCACATCTTCACAATGAGAGTACAAAGTGGAGTTCATCTGAGGAGAGCGATTTCCCCACAGCTGCTGACTGAGGAAGAGGACATCTCCTCCATCCTGTGCCTGGCAGCTGCTGTGTGGTTTGTCAGCTATGAGGTACCACAGAGTTCCCATTCCTGCAGGGATCACAACAGAGCCTGGCCATGGAGTCTCCATCCTGCTCCACCTTCCATTTCATCCCTCCTCAGCATTTTCTTCAGGCTGCAGCGGGTGTTGCATGGGGAATTATCATGGAATTAATTCTATGCTTGCCAACTGCATTCCCTCCTTGAAATAGCAACTGCATTTTACCCTAAAATTTCCTAATGTTACAGCTTCTGTCAGAATGGGATTATAACTTTAGCCTCAAGATTTTCCCCCAGATGTCTCTAATTTTCCCCCATTTTCCCACTTAATCAGCCCCATGACTGTAGTCACTCAAGCTTCCCAATATCCAAATGGAGTTCAAGAGTGTTTCAAGCATTTGTATTGCATGGATTATCTGATGTTTGTAGGGGTGGCCAATAGGCTAATTGCCTCATAATAATACAAACTTTAACATATAATACCTTTATCAAGACAGAAAGAAAAAGGGTTAATATTAATACAACAAATTTCTGTAGCAGTTGGTGATCATCTGAAGAGGGTATTCCACCACCACTGTTCTGCATCTTTCTTGACTGGTTCCAAAACATTATCTATTTTCTCCACGTCGTGATGGACAAGGACCAGAGTCCTTTGTCCATTTTCTTGAGCTTGTTTCAGCAATTGTTTTGAGTCTTCATGTTGTAGCAGTTTCCTAATCAAGGTGAGATTCATTCCAATAGGGGTGGGCAGCAGGTCTGAAACCAGCATTTAGTTAAACTGGAACAACTAGTAAGATGTGACAGGAGCTGAGTGAATAAAACCACATCCCATAATTTCAATGAACTTACAAACACAAATATTTGAGTGATTACTTGTAGCTACACTATATAAGAGTTACCATGGAATCACAAAGAATTCTCATGCTTCTGTCACCAATTTGTACAATTGAAAACATTTTAAGGGATTTCCCTGGGATGTGTCTCAAAATGACAAACATTTTTGTTCAGTGTCAAGACAAATGTCTTAAGCTTTGTGTTACTTTCACAAATGACTCCTTGTTGTTCTTGCACAATGACATCAATGCCTTGCCATTTTTTTCTATCTTTTTGGGCCCATACTCTCTGCTCCCAGAGTATAGTCCCACTGTGACTGAACCCTCACAAAATGATTGGGTATATAATACACACCCAAGCATTGTGGACAGTCAACACAAAAGCTGTGGTTGTGCCGTCAATGGCATCATAGGTTAAACTGACTAAATAGCACCAGAATTGGAATTTCTCTCCAAACTCAATCACATTATCCTCCCAAAGCACTTTTAGAATTTCAGTGGGTAAGGTACCTTCCTCTTATAATTGCAGCTGTCATCAATTGCATCCACAGTTGGGCTTGAACACAAGAAAGACCACACAAACATTGTTTTAGAGTACACCAAATGCACCTATGATCAGCTGGTGTTCTTTCACCCTCCTGCTGAATTAACATTTCTAATAGAAGCCACTGCTTAGTTGCCAGAGCCAAAATGGAAGATTGTGGCAGGTGTTTCAATTTGTTCAGGACACCAGTTATCATGAGTAGTTTGTTCATTAATCCCTCAGAGTCTCAGCTATTTTGAACTCCCAGTCCTCTTTCCAAGATACCCAGCACATGAAAATTTTGCCCACTTTTGGGGAAAGGGGGCTCATTTATGCAGCCATGCTGTCCATTCTGCATAAGAGGTCTTCAAGAATGGGGAACTGGTTGGATTGTAGAAACATTATTTTGCTTCATCAATTCAACTTGTTTGGAGATTGTGGCAGGTCAAACAACAGTTGTTGTTGACTTATATTTTTTATCACATATGGTCTAATATCAGAGACTTCTCCAACTTCTCCCCTTTCTGTATGTTTAGGTGGAGCTTGAGTGGTTCCAGTCATACAGCAAGGGGTGGTTGTACCTCAGGGTGGGTAACTTTGGGATGGAAATGTGTCACAGCATTTCATCTCAGCTAACCTTGGGATGGGGGTGTGCTCAGTGTTACACCTGAGGAGAGTAATTACACAGCAGCAAGATGTCTTCTCCTATCTCCCTTAGTTTGTTGGAAATGATGCAACTATTTTTTCTTTTTTATTTTTTTTTTGTTGTTAATGTAACTTTAGTCAGGGTTTGTTTTGTTCACCTTTGCCCATGGGGAGGGGAATTGGAAGCGTCTCTCCAAAAGACTCTGTTCACCAGGCAAAGCCTGATGAAGCCTTAAAATCTACAGACTAAGAGTAGCCAGAAGACACAGAGGAGATAAATGAGCATTAATGAGCATCACCCTCTGGGGCAGTTGGAGACACCTGGTCTGGGAAAAGATTGATGAGACCCAAAGAATGAGGTCCTAATTAATGTCAAAGGTGAAGGAATCAATAACCAATAGGATATCAAACACTAAGAATTGTCTAATTTAAGACCAATGAACATGAATTTCTTTGGGGTTTGTATGTATAAATATGTGAAAAGTCTAGTAAAGAACCATATGTGATGGAATGATTTTCACTGTACAACCCAGGCATGTGTGAATGAAATAATTTCTACTGCACATCCTGGCCAAAATAACATCCTGGCCAGAAAAAACTAATGCCTCGATTTTCCAACACTGAAAAGATGTTGTTGGAGAGTTTCTGTCTTCCCCATAGTTTCGGTGATAATGTGACCATAACTTTAGCCTCAAGATACTTCTCAGTTTTCTTTAATTTCCTCCCAGTAATTTTCCCACATTGTGCTAGAACTGATTACTTATTTAAAAAGAAAATAATTTTTTGTTTGGGTCAAGCCCAGCCCAGAAAAAAACCCTCAGCTCCCTCTTACTGCTCTGATCTAATGGTTGTAGCAAGTTTTATCTCATTTCTTAGTGTTTTCACTGTGGACTGTTTCCTCAGCAAGATGAAAATTTAAGGCCAGGAGAAAAAAATCAGCAATACTTACACTATAAAAATGTAACTGGACTTTTATGGCCTTTCTGGGAAAGAGGACCAGTTTCCTGCTGGTCAATTCTGATGCCGTTGTTGTTATTGTTATTTTGCTTATCTGAGGCCTTACATTTCTTCTGCTGAAACTCCTGAATTTCACATGGAAGAAAGTATGTTTTCCAATATGAAGGGGAGGGGGAATGAACATTTATTTATACATCTATCTTTTTACAGAACAGAATGAAAATGAACCAACTTCA